CTAAGAGGTCGTTTGGTATCTAATAACAGTACTATGCTAGCCAATTTCGACACACCTCAATTATTCCATCAAGTACGTACTTACTATTTGACAATATCTTTACCCCCAAAACTTAGACTGAAAATATCATCTAGCTGTGTCTTAAGCTCTTTACTTATGCACTCTTCCCATTTTCTAAAGGAAAATATTTTATTAAAAATCTATGAATGATCTCTACAATTCTTTATTTCCTCCACAGATCTTCACACATAAAATAAGCTACTAATATCCCTATTTATAATAGTAAGAAACCTATTTCAATTAGAAATAGGAAAAAATATTCCTATATTTATTCTAACTGCAAATCCTATTTAGACATGATTTAAATAAACTAAATCTTAAATAACTAAGATTTCCTAATACAACTTTGAATTAGTTTTCCAACATTTTCACATTCGTTTCTTGGTCAAAATGCAAAAGCTGAGTTACTTGAGTATGTACCAGAGGGTGAAGTTTCTAAGATTTCATCCAAATGTAGTAAAAAAAATCTATAAAGTAGTAATCAGTGAAATGTTTTGCTCCTGAACATAAAGAAAACATAAATCTTAGAGCAATTCTGTCACGACCCAACTTTCCCTCCGTTTGGGTATCGTGATGGCACCTAGTTTTAGGGACTAGGTAAGCCTAATTCATGCTGAAATACCACAATAATAAATGAAATTTAACAGTCTTGAAGCAGAAATCTCTACAAAATTTATAATTCCCAAAACCCGGTAGTACAAGTCATAAGCTCTACAGAGTTCCGCTACAACTTCTAAACACAATCTTATGGAAATAAGTACAACAGTGTGAATATAAAATAGGAAGGTGACTCCGAAGCCTGCGAACGCAGCAACAGGACTACCTTGAGTCTCCTCGGCAAGAATCCGCACAGCTACTAGCGAACAATACCTGGATCTGTACAAAAAAAAATGTGTAGAAGTGTAGTATGAGCACATCACAGTGGTGCCCAGTAAGTATCAAGACTAACCTCGGTGGAGTAGTGACGAGGAACAGTCAAGACACATACTGGTCTAATATACAGAACATGATATTTATATAGAGACTACGCGATACGGCTAACAATACTGTAATTAAAAATAAGGAGAGAAAAGAACAATTACTTAGCGGAACACCATAAGGGAAAACACGGAAAGGTAAGCGAGAATACAACCCAAATCCGAAATTACAAAATACAGTAAAGACAAGTCATAACTCAACAGCTCCGATAGTTTTCACCTTGAGTCTTAACCAACAAGCGTCAATCAAATAGTCAAACCTTTAAGCGATAAAAATGTTTCGAAATATGCTTCATTCAAATAAATGTTCTTTTCAAAAAGAGTTCCTTCAAAATAAATGCTTTTAGAATATAAACTTTTCAAATAGATAACCTTCGCATATCACACTCTGTGACACCTCATCTCATAATCATACGATACGGGTCTCAATACCTGAACCCTAACACTTTGCATCCTGTGCCCTCATCACACCTCCTAATCATACTGACAACTCACGTGCCCAAAAAAGTCATTCTCACATGGAAGGCAAAGAACAAGGGTGTGCGTCTATACTCAGAAATCTCAAAGAGCCTCCTACCCGGTAAGGGTGATTAACCATGTGTATGCTTGTGCAAGTGTCCTAACATAGTTCATACCAACTAGTAAGTTTAAGGAATAGAACGGACAGCACCTATAATGTTTACAAAGGGATAGGATCAATGAAACATCAGCTCAAAACGCAATGATTTTTAACAGGGGATCTCCCAGAATATCGTCCCGTAGTCCCAAACGTAAATATTCGGGGATCTCTCAGTATCCTCAATATATGTGCTGGGGATCTCTCGATATCACGAGGATCTCTTAGTATCCTCAATATGTGTGCTGGGGATCTCTCGGTATCCCGCACTACAGTCCAAATCAATATATGTGTACAGGGGAATCTCCCGGGTGCAGTCTCGTAATCCTAAAAGTATATATGCAGGGGGATCTCCCGGAACACCGATCCGTAGTCCCAAAGTAAATATGCAGGGGGATCTCCCGGAACACCGATTCATAGTCCCAAAGTAAACATGCAGCGCAACCAACAGAAATAACAGTCACAACACAACAGAAAGCTCGTACATCACCACAATACATAAAACAACAACAATGATAATAATACAAGGTAAGACAAGTAAATCAACTTGAGGACTGTAAATCGCAAGGAAACGGCAGAACCAGCTCACAAGGAATAACCACAGAAAATAATGCTGGCATAAAGAGAACAGTTCAACAACGGAAAAACTAATATATAGCGACGATCCCACAATATACAAGTCAATAACAAGGAAATCAACACGAGTCAAATAGTCCCAAATAAGAGCAAGTAAACAAGGACATAGGTTATCTAACTTCTTTTAATATTGGACAATTTCGAGGATATTCGACAATTCAATTAAGGAGAAATGATCTTTAGCTCTACTTAAGACTAAACAAATTTTAGGAAGGATAATGATGATTTTCAAATAAGACAACAGCTATGAAAAAGATATCATAACAATAGGAGATGCGACATTCTTCAATTTAATCAAATAGGAGTCAATTAGGCGATAAGAGTGAATCATGAAGCAATTAATTCCAATTAAGCATGTAGTGGTGAAACTAGTAAATAGGAAACTCAGTCAGGTCAAGAACACATTCATACACAGTGAATATAAAGACCTAAGAACCTTAAAAGGCCAACTTTCCACAAATAAGTCCGAACATGCACTCGTCACGTCGCGTACACGGACTACAATCCATGTAGAAGACTCAAATCCTAAGGGGAAGTCCCCCACACAAGGTTAGGCAAGATACTTACCTCGAACCAAGCTCAAATCAGATCCGAAATCACGCTCTTGCCACGAGTATCCAACTCTGGGTGGCCCAAATCTAGTAAAATCAATTACATAACGTAAATATAACTACAAACAACTAATTTAGCTAATGAAATAGAAGCTAAGACAAGAAAATAGAAAAATGCCCAAAATCCTCCCCCGGGCCCACGTCTCGAAACTCGACAAAAATCACAGAATATGAGCCCCCATCCAACCACGAGGCCAACCATACCAATTTTGCTAAATTTCGACATCAACTCGACCCTCAAATCTTCAATTAAAGTCTTGGAAGATTTCTACCATTTTCAACCCAATCTTTGCCCATTTGACCTCAAAAATCTTCACACAAGCTTTATTTGTACATACATGTATTCATAATACTCTTACAACTAAGAATCATACTCTTAATCACCCATCTATTACACCATACTCAAAATTGAAGGCTATGTCTAGAACTTTACCTCTTAGATGAAGATCTTGTAATTGAGTTCTTTAATTCTTGAAGATTGATGCAAGATTGGATGATTTGAATGTTGGGTTTCCTCCTTCTCTCTCTAAACTGCTCTCACATCTCTCTAGAATACTCATAAAATCACCGCAAAATAAACCCCAAAGATTTATCAAAATGGGACCAGGTTATGAAAATAGGGGAATTAACTCTCCGAAATCAAGTATGCGATTGCAGAATCATCGCATAATGGGTATGCGCGCCGCATACGCGTCGCATAACTCGGTACCCAAAACTGGGCAGTTCTGGAGCATTCTGCGACCAGTTTTGCGGTCGCATATCAAGTATGCGGACCGCATAATTGATATGCGATCGCATAATTTCTCCCACAGGATCGCATTTTTCCAGCCTTTGGTAATTTGGTCCTAACTTTGTGTAGGAATGTCTAAATGACGAACGGTTTAAAGCGTTGGAAACTAGACTCAAAGATCTTTAATTTGATAGGTTGTGTACCACATAACACCTTGTATATATGTAGATATGCTCGTTCAAAGTGGGGTCTTGTGCGCATTCATTTGGAGTTTTAGTCTATTATGTAATTTTCCAACTCGGCTTAGACTTAGGACTTTCCTTAGACCCCATATCTCTTATAATATGTCTCGTACATTTATTATCATATCCAATTGATATCCATCATATTAATAGTCCTCGTCCGCACCTAAAACAGTATAATTAGAACGCGTCAACTTTCTTATTTCGCCAAAATGCACCGAATTGTCCTACGGACTTCTAAATCCAAATCCGGACACACGTCTAAGTCCAAAATCACCATACGAAGCTATTAACATCATTAAAAATCCATTCCGAGGTTGTTTGCTCAAAAGTCAACTCTCCGGTCAACTCTTTACATTTGAGCTTCAAAATGAGATTTTTTTTTTTCTTTCTTTAAATTTAACTCTGAATCTTACGAAAACCAAACTCGACCACACATGCGGGTCATAATGCATATTACAAAGCTTTTCGAGGTCTTAAGCCGTTGAACAAGAAGCTAATTCTTAAAACGACAGGCCAGATCGTTACAAATTCTTTCTACAATCTACAGTAAAGTAAAAACTAACAGAAGTACAAGCATATCTTTAATAGTGACATAAACCATGTGGAAAAAAAAGAAACATAAATCATCGTATTTTTTGCTAGTGCTGAACTTGTTCCAGATGCTGAACCTAAAGCTGAGGACTCCAAACTGTCAAGACAACATAATAAAATATCAGAACAAGTTTTGAAAGCCAAAAAAAAGAAGAAGGAAGAAGTAAGATAGCATCAGCTCACTCTATGCATGTTCCATGGTGAGTTACCTATTTTGACAACCACCGCCGCAAGTTGGGCAGTCTGAATGGAACATAACCGGCGGAGATGGATGAGTCCTTAGCTACGAAACTTGAATAGGTACAAGTAGAACTCCATGTCACTACAAGGAAAACAACAATATAAATTAACATGATATACCATTTGCTACTAGAGAATTGGCAAATTCATGCTAAAAAAAGTAGTTCATCTTTTAATCATGTGTCATGCCATTAGTGTCTTCAGAAGTGAAGGAACAAAGAAGAAAACAATATGCTTAATTGGAAATAAAAGCATGCAATCACCAAAATAACGATACTGCTAGCTTAATAGTCTCTATAACTTACTCAAAGCTTTAGCAATCGTTCCATTTTGAGTCGGAAACTTGCTTGATACCACCGTTTTTGCACCCCTACAGTAATATCCTGGTGCTTTGAGGGTAAATCTTTTAGGCTTCCTCACTCTTCTTATACTTGGGAAAGCATGACCAACATCGAGCTCGAATGAGCTCACAGCTTTCCCAGGATCTTGAATCCACGAGTTAATTACTCCACCTTTGCGGCAATTCATAAGTCGTTACTTATATACAAATGTGGGATCCCGCTTACAACAATAAGGGATGTTCCCTTTGAACTGTGAACAATCCCCTCTCTCAGTAGCATGACCTCCACGTGCACTCCAAATTACTTCTCTGTCGGACCATGTCCAACCTAGTTGCCATCCTGGTGCTTGAATAGGACGGTACTTCTGAAAGTTGTAGATCGAAACATTAACCTGCTTAATACATGAGAAAAAAAGCACTCTTTGTGTCAAACACAACTTTGTTAAAAGTCTAGATGGTAATTTAAACCGAAAAATTTGAGAAAAATCGAGAACCAACCCGATCTACGTGCACCCCTAGTTCTAGTTATTTATTGATGTATAGGCTTTTGATTCTCTATTTTCTTTTTCCTGATTTGGCTAGATAACTGATTGTTTAACTAGTCGAGTTTTGGGTTTGTAAAGTTTTACAAAGCTGATTAATACAAAATTAGTTATCAGAAAATAATAATAATAATATAGGTTGGTAAAACTAGAGCAGAAAAAACTCACAATGTATACATCTGGAGTCCAAGACATGATATCCCACTTGATGGTAATTTTTCCGTTGCGCTTGTGTGCATCTGCATACATAAAAATAAAATCTAAAAACTGAACATAGACAAAATCCAGATTAAGACAAACGTCAAGGAAATATTCAAGATTAGCTTAATTCCGTAGTCTTCCATATCAATAAACAAACACTTCAGTCGCATGGACAAGACCTAACTAGCTCGTAGGCCATCATAATTTTCACATACACTATCACCAAGATACATGGGCGGATTTGTAGCCTAATACATGGGACAGATGAACCTATGGTCTATATGGTATTTATATATATATATATATTTTCTAGAATTAATCTGATATAATCTGCTGGTACACATGTTCCACGGAGGCTAAATGGTGCACTTTGTTCAATACTGAGTTATTTACCTAGAGGAGCAGGGATCAACTCTCACGGCGCATCCGTATTATAGAAATCCTAGATCCACCTCCGGTAAGATAACATTTACTTTAAATATGTTTTGCATTGGAAGATTAATAAACAACTAGAATCTTTTTCGGTCTACTCAGACCAAAAATAACGATAAATGGGATGATAACAGAGAGAATTAATGGATACTCACCAGTAGACGTGAAGCACAGAAGAGACGGCAAGAAAGTTAACAACAGAATGCGAAATGTAGTGACTGATAGTGAGCGGAAGACTGCCATTTCTGCAACCAAAAAAGAGCTCTTTTCTTATATATATATATATATATATATATATATATGTATATCAGAATAGTATCACTTTCAACTTTGGAACAATATTACTATGCACTTAACAGAATTAATCTCTTTGTTTTCATATCTCTAAAAATCCCAAAAGACTCAATTTTTCAGCTTAAGGTACACGCGCAAAGTGCATATCAATATTATTCTCATAGCTTCTCCTTTTCTCAATAAATGGATCCTTAATGATATTCAGCTGTTTACTGTTATTGATTTTTTTTTTTTTTAAGTGGTACTCCCTCTGTTCCAGTTGATGTGAACCTATTTCTTTTTTAGTCCATTCCAAAAAGAATGAACCATTTCTAAATTTGGTAACAATTTAGCTTAAACTTACAATTTTACCCTTAATGAGAAGCTTTTCTAACCACACAAATACTCTGAGCCCCTTTTGGACTTATTTAGGACCATAAATTCCAAAGTCTTCATTTCTTCTTAAACTTGTGCCCAGTCAAACAGGTTCACATAAATTGGAACGGAGGGAGTACTTATCTTTTGTAAAATTATTTTGTTCTAAAATAATTCCTTAGCTCCCTATACAAATAGTACTACTACCTAATTACTCTAATGCTTTAAAAAGAATCTTTGTACTTTTTCAATATGAGAATAAGATTTGATAAATTTCTATACCAAATTACTTAACAAAAAGATGCTGATTAAATTTCTTTGTTTCTTACCTGCTAAGGTTGCTAATGTTCTTTTGATACAAAATACACACACAAAAAAACATGCATGTTTATATGTTGCAGTTTAGGTAATATCCATTTATCCAGCAAGACATAAATAGTTATTAAAAGCGTAGAATCGCATACATAAATCTTTTTTTTTAATCCCAAAAAATAAAAGTTGTTGGTATTAAATTCAAACCTTGTTGGTATTCCAAATTTTTTTTTAAAATCTTTTTGGCATGTTCGTATTGTACTTTTATTAAAACTTTCGTGCTTTTAATATAATATAGACAGATACATAGATTTTTTGCTAAATCATTAAATTCAAACCTTGTCGGTATTCCCAACAAAAAAAAAGGTACAACACGGACATAAAAATGTCAGATCTTATATTTTAAGAAAAAAAACGCTCTCCAAAGCAATACCAAATCATGTTAGAAAAACAATAACAACAGTACTCAACAAAATTACCAAATCAAAATTGAATAGACAATAGAACTAAAGTAAATATAAATCACGTAAGAAAAGTATCTTTCTTTAGCAAATATTAAGTGTAATCTAGGAGAACTAAGGAATAGAAAAAAGATAAGCTTTTGATAACAAATACATCAAACAAAAATATTTAAGTTTATCGTATAAACTAATATAATAATCTGTAATATGTTACTTACTTGGCGAGAGATCGGTTGAATTTTGTAAAGTACCTATGTCATGTATACCATAAACTTTAGATATAGTATAAGAGATGATTCAAAATTTAAAATTATAAGAGGAACAATATAACTATAAGTACCAAAAAATAAGAATCAAATTAAATCATTTATTGATCTCAAAGTCACCGGCAACAACAACGTAACAACAAACTCAGTGTAATCCCACAAAGTAGGGTTTGTAGGTAGAGTGTACGCAGACCTTACTCCTATCTTGTGAAGTTAGAGAGGTTGCTTCTGATAGACCCCCGACTCAAGATAAAAATAAAAAAGACAGACACAACACGTAGTAACGTCTCAAAGTCACCGGCAAATCTTTCAAATTTACAATATCAATAAAAAACTCAAAGAAGGGAAGAAAAAAAAAGTCCAGTTAGATCATGCAAACAAGTTTCCTACCTTAGACTGTCAATTCAAGAAAAAGAGGTTTAGAAAATTTGACGAGCAAATACAGTACCTTTTACCTAGAAGATGAATACTTCTACTTCTCTACCAGACCTTCAATCCCTCTCCGAACATAATTTATTCACTATGCAATTTTCTTTGGAATATATATACCTTATATAGTTATAAAGAGTCCTAAACCTAAAAGGACTTGAAAGTCTTGAAATTTTATATTCTTATAATAGCCTAAGAACTTAATTCGAATGGTCCTTTAGTGAAATCATTGATCTAATTTGCACTCTCATTTTCTCTGTAATTGTGCTCGGGACAACCATTAGGATGCTTCGGAGTATTCTTGAAGTATTAATGGAGAGAACACCCAGAGAAATTGATGCAACAATTGTTAAGAAAAATAATACTTGAAAAACGAAATTGAAGAAGGCTTGAGGCGTGAGAACGACTTTCCTTAAAGAAGATATTGCCCGTATACAAATTGGGAAAATACAAACAATCTTCTTTAGCATACAACATGCCAAGAATACACTTGCAGATTTTTCTAGAATACAACAAGCCAAGAATATAGTTACAGATTTTTCTATGTTGACTTTGTTGGAAGAACTTCTATTTATAGAACATCCATCGAATTTTAAAAAAAATATGTGTTCTATGACAAACACACGCATCTGTTTATTCAAATAAATTTAAAATTTAAAATTTCAAATAAAATAGATTTAATTATAGAAATAAATAATATACATATAGTTATATACATATAATAGTATGTGTTCTAAATTAGACACATAAAAGGTCAAGAAGTTAAAAGACACCAAGAGTAACCTTTCACCACCAATATGAAACAATTCCCACGTGCTTTCTAACTTATAACAAACTATCCTTCGACAAGGCTCGAGAAGGGGCTCTCTGAGGTGGAGGACGTTGTCGCAATCCATGAATTGCACATATGGGCGATTACAGTCGGCAAAGTGCTCCTGGCTTGCCATGTCAAGATTAAGCCCGATGCTGATGCGGACACAGTGCGGGATAAGGTGATTGATTATATTAAGAGGGAATATAACATTAGCCATGTAACCATTCAAATAGAAAGAGAGTAGTGGCATGGAAAAGTTTATTTTGGTTGTTGTACTGGTCATTGGCTTCTTTATTCTTTCGATAGTAGTTTAAACGGAAAACTTGATCTGGTTAAGCGGTTCCAGTATTATGGTAATTGCAAGGTATTTAGTGTTTAACCAAAAATATGTCTTTTTGTCAAAATTTAATTTTAGAAGAAAATAGGTTACTGATAACTAAGTTTAGCTTCATTTTCCCAAAGATATCAAAGGAAAATAACAAGAATAACTAAGGAAATAATTGATTGCAAGATTGAAGCAAAGAATTTCGAGAAAACAAAAAGTAAAGTATATATCTCAATATTGTCCCAGATGTCCTTACAAGTGAAATTCTCTCCTCTTATATAGAGGTTTACACATATAACGTTTCTTCCATTTATGGCTAAATCATTAAGAGCTTTATGGTATTAATGATGCGTTACAATTGGTAATCGTAACTGTCCACGAGATTCTGTAACGATTCTGATTCCCTTCCTCATTAATTGAAGGTTCATGAATCTTCCCTTTTTACTGTCTCGATTCAGTCTTTGCCAGCTGTTAGGCTCGGTACTATCTCGTGGGTATTTCCCTCCCATGTCTTTTATTATTCTATCAAATGAGACTGCCACGCGTTGTTATATTATTGCTCTTACGTGTTATGCCATGTCAGCAGTCTAATATTCCACGTGTAGCTCTTTTTCACCACCAATACAGATAGTCCCCCCACTTTCTTAAATATTCTCTATTGAATACTCGGGGAAGTGGAAGGTTTTTATGGCGGGAATTCTCTGCCGCCGTTTTCGAATATAATCATACCCTTTTATTAAATGATCATGTCACGTGGCTTTTAACAATTGATTCTTCAGTTCTTCAACGTCCTTTAGGGTTTTCCTGCAACCGCATTAGTCACGAAGTGACGGTTCCATTATGACGCTTCATAATGACCTCAATAATCATGTCTTCTTATAAATACTTAACCCCTTTTTTCCGATTTCTAAAGCCTTTCCTGCTTAGTCTTCTTGTCTTACTTCGTTCTGCATCTTTTTCTTGTATTTCTCTAGTTAATCATGGCTTCATCAAATCCCTATCCTCGCAAAGTAGTAATTGTTGATGAACTTCTCCCTTCAACTGCCCTTGTTAGGAGTACAAGAGGTGGTAGATTACGTAGCCTCGGTTCAATTTCTAACCGTGGTTCCTCCTTTCAAGGTAGTGCTACCAAACCATCTTCTTCAAGACCTAGGGCTTCTGCAACCCCAAGGTCTTCTTCTAAAGATAAAGATTTAACCGGAACCCTTCGTGAACCCACTATTGATGAGATTGTCCCTCAAGAGCTATCCTTTGTGACTGATAGTGAATCCATGAATAGTCAAGTCTCCATGGCTGCTTCCCTTGATCGTGTTGATCGGTACCCAACTCTGATTACCACTGGTCTTCTTGCTCTGGTTCGAAGGGAATGTAACTCGAAACCTAACTTCCCAATTTTAATCCCTCGTTATAACCAAAGAATAACTTCATACAAAACTGGTTATTCCTTCGTTTATACATATCCTTTACCTTAGGCTTTAGACCTCCTATTGACCCGGTATTCATTGAGTCCTGTCATTACTTCAATGTGTTTGGGACAAATTGGTCCTATTGTTTTGAGAGCCGTTGCATGCCTCAGTTATTTAACAAACTTGGCTTCAATGACTTTTACTTTTCGTCACTTACTCCATCTTTACTCTCCCAAACTATTTCGTGATGGAGTTTTTTCCCTTGTGGCCAAAAGTAAGAGAAAATTAGTTAGCCCTGAAGATGATAGAGATCGAGGCTGGTATGCTCTCTTTATTGCTGCTCCCACTAGTGGTTTGGTGGGTGAAGAAAACATGCCTTTTCCAGAAAAGTGGAATTTTGCACATAAGTATTTGTATACCACCTTTTTCTTTTCTAAAAATTGATTCTCATGTATTCTCGTGCCTATTTTTTTAACAACTATGGAAGTTTTTGAGAGATCCTCGACTTCCGCGCTTGGATAGGAAAGTTATTATCTGTTGCTCCTAGGAGAGAAGATCTTGGAAGTATCTTTCTCAGAGATT